ACAATGGAAAGGGGACGCTTTTTTTTCGGTGTAAGGGAGTGTTGGTTGTTATGCGTTCGCCGGCGCAGTTAACATATTCATTTTGTCACACCTCGAAATATGAGCAAAGACAAAGGGCAAACGTTGAGGAGGGAAAGTGGGGAGAGTCGGGAAAAGCGAGAAAAGCGAGAAAAGCGGAAAAGCTGCTTCTTAGCTTAAGGTGCGTGTCAATAGGTTGATGTGTTTATTTGCCAGGCCAAGCAGCGATAATCGATGCGTGTGACAATTAGGGCCTGGCACAACAAGAATTCCACATTTTCAGGGGGATAACTCTGAAAAGACAGAGACACAGATCTTTCCCCTTGAGAAAACTCTCTTTTCGGAAAGAAAAATGGTAAAGAGCCCTTGGGGCCAAAATCGAAGCTCGCGTTGAAAATGAAATTTAATTTTATGACTCATTATTTTACACACGCACACCTTGGTGGGGGGTGTGTGTGTGTGTGTGTGGGGCAAAGACACCCACTCACACGCGTAGAGAGCACATAAATATCGTTTGCTTGGATAGGAGGCCGTTAAATGAGCTCCGTGAGACATTTCGCGTTCCGCCTCGATTGTCAACAACTCAGCCCAAAAAAAAAAGACTCTTAACCCCCCGTAGACCCCACCTAACCCCCCTCCCCCACCCACATGTTAACCCACGTTTTTTCCTTGTTTATTTGCCTTATTTATTTCGCCTTGGCTGCTGTCGTTTTATGCACACTTTTACTTTTACTTGCCCCAACAATTGCCTTTGTGTCTCCGTGTGTGTGTGTGTTGGTGACACTTGTGTGCGTCATGCAGGACCTCCTTACCAAAGGGGGGAGGGGGAGGGGGTGGTACTTACCCCCTAGAATCAGTGGGGAGTCGTGTCTATTTAAATCGAAGCGAAATCAATTTCGGGATTCGCGTTTTATGCACAAGGCAAACATAAAATGCGCGCATGAAGAGAGCTTAACCTGTGCCACCCCCTCCCCCCAGTAAGCCACCCCCTCTCGATCCAACCCACTTAAATGGGAAGTGGTGCGGGAACAGCAGGCTGAAGTGGTTTCAGTAGCTGATGCATTCACATTTGAGCACATTGTTGACAATTGAAATGTTCTGTGTGTGCGCTCGTGTTTGAACTGTTTAACGGCAGCCAGGGGCGTCGTTTCCAGAGGGATTCGATTGTGCCGGGGGTGCCCCCTGCACCTATTTTGTGGGCTTGATTAGGACCTACTCCAGGCCTACTATAAAAACTAAAGAAGTCTGATATTTATTTTTCGGAAATCACGAAAATTATGTTACCATTAAATAATAAAACTTTAAGAACAATAAATATTTGAAGGCAGGTTCAAGTACAGTCGAAACAAAAACTTGGTTATAGTTTAACAACAAACGTTTTAAGGTATGCCACATAAAATAATTAATCCTATAACCCAAAAAAGCCTATAGTTTCAATGGATTGGATTGATTGATTATGTTTTATCTTTTTCCAACTCGATTACCTGATGTACCAATAAGTTATTTAAATGGGTGTTTTAAAATATATATTTCCATATTGTTTCTCAGTAAAGGCCCCTTTTTTGGAGTTCCTGTTCCTCCTCCAGCTGTTTCACCTGTGCATGTGTGTGACCTTCTGCCTGCCGCCCCCTCACCACCCCCTCCCAAATATTAAGACCCCCTCCCCCAAAATACGGTTGCTATATGTGTGCTTGCCTGTGCAAAAATAATCGCATTTCCGATTCGCGATTTGTGATTAGCGTGCGATAAACATTCGCCTGGATCCTTTGTGCGTTTTCTTTATGTTGCCACCGATTTCGCCTTAAACGGGTGTATCCCAGATGTACCTTAACCCCCCAATACCCAGTACCCAGTGCCCATTTCCACCCCCCTTTAACCCTCCTTTGGCCCTGCTTACTCGGGCATAAATATTACACGTTGATTTCAACTGAATTGGAAACTTTTATTTATTTACTTTTCGCATTCTTATTTTATTCTATTTATTTTCCACATTTTGCGCGTTTTGTTCGATTTTTGTTTATGCGGTGATAAAAGTGTTTCCCATTCCCCCAACGATGACGACTTGAATTTTCAATTAAAAAAACTTTGCAGCGGGAGTTGCAGGGGGACATTTCTGAATGGTTATTCATAAGCACGCTGCCGGGCCATGAATCAATGCTGAAAGTCCAAAGTCCAGAAGGGACTTTGGGTCAGGGAGAGGGGGGTGGAGCGGGGAAAGGGTGTCTGGCCAAGTGACAGTCATTGTAGCTGAAATTATTCTACTGAAATGTTATCAGTATTCTCTTGAACTTAGGCCCCGCAAGGGTTAAGGGGATCATGGTGGAGAGCGTGAGTGCTCGCGAATTTTTCAGGAAATTGGCACTACAGAAAAACCTTTTTAAAAATATTACAAACTAGTTTTTGACTTGGTTTTTAAATAAATTAAATCGTAATAATAAATGCGAATTGATAATAGTCTTTAGTGTCTGGTAAATTAAGAAGGAATATTATTACTTAAGCCATTTTATATACAAATCATTTGCCAATTACAATTTTATGAAAATGGTATTATTATGGGAACATTCATATATATTTAATATAATTTTCTACATTATTCCATATCAAAATCGTGCTTTTCGTGACTCACGCTGCCATCGCTGAGCTCCTCGAATAGTTTCATGTTGCTGACGGAGGCGGCAACATTATCTCCAGCAACATTATTCATTATCGTTTACCAGCTGCCCCGCCCCCTTCCTGCAGCCCCCGCTGCTTTTGGCCATTTCAAGTCGGTGACATTGCAACAGATACTTCTGCTCTGCCTCAAGTTTGGCTTCCTGCCACTGAATCCCCTCCAAAGTCCAACCTGCCACGCCCACCCGCATCTCACGTAGTGCCCAATGAAGCCGACCCGCCCACCACTCACCGCCCACTTTTAAGTCACAACTCTGGACAAAGTTTTGCGTGCTGTGAAAAAATAATAATAAAAGGCGAGGACTACAAAACAGGGCACAGGAAAGAAAAGCCAAGGCACAGACGCATCTCGGTGGGCAGGAAAACTTCCGTTTCGAGTTGTGGCCTGGAAATTGGCAACTCCAATCAAGTGGAAGGATCCAATGGAATACCGTCCGGGGTTGCGAAGGCCGACCAATAAATATGAAATTAATCTGGCTGAATATTAGCAGGAAATAGCATTCAAAAATGGATTTTCTTTAAGTAATAGTAGGCGAAAAAAAGGAACAAAAAATGGAAAAATACCTAAAAAAAGACTATTTAAAATGTTGTTAGTCTTATTTATTTATTTAACCTTATTTAGTTTATTTTGGCTATTTATTAATTTCAGAAGGCCATTAAAAATAAGTAAATAAATATATTTTGTATAATTTAATAGTCAGTGATATTTAAATAAATACTTATTTAAGTAAATATTACCTTTTTATATAGCAAAACTTTTCTAAAACATAAATTTGTTTTTATTTGATGCAGAGGTACTGGTTTCAAACCTTTATATTGTAAAGCTAACCATATAAGTACAATCATAAAGGGTAAATTACTAATTTTCAAGGGGTACGAAAAAGTCGAATCCTTGTAGCCTTTAAAATTATTGTAGCTGTTGACCATGCAGCTGCAACATTTCAAATTTCGTATCCTGCGTGCGGACATATCGCCCCGGTTTTCCCCTTTTTCCCCTTTTTTCCCTTTTCCCAGACAGACTTTCATAGATGGCACAGTTTGAGCCTTGAATATTTTGCATTTATGCAAAAGGCTCCACAAAAAGAGGATTCTAATAGAGCACAGCTTGTTGGCAGCGTCAGAAGAAGTGGAAGAAGAAGACGCAGGCGAAGGCGCCATCTGCCACGCCCACTGGCCAAAAAGTTGCAACTTTTGTGCTGCGTGCGGTTTTTGCTGTGACATTTTCGTAGATTTCGCATCGGACCTTTTGTAGGAAAATTCGGGTGTAAAAGAGGAAAAGTCCGCAGTTGGACTTGAAATATATATAAATATATAAATTTATTTTGGCACACACGAATAGTTTTGTTCAGTTAAAAGCGAGAGTTGTAAAAATAATACTCCCAAGCGAATTTGTCTTTCATAAGACCTATATATTTTCTTATTGAAGATCGCTTTGGATTAGAAAACAGCAGCCACATAAATATTTACGCATTTTAATACGCACCAGAATAGTTAAGACAAGTTTATTATGTTGATTTCTTTCTGGGTTTTGCTTCCATATCGGGGTTTCTACAAAACTCTTCTCGGGAAATGTGCTGAGTTGGAAAAACCAGAATAAGAGAATCCCGGTGAGTTATTTATGGGTCACAAAAGGTAAAAAAAAATATACGAATGGAATTATAAATAAGCAAGTATACGTAGAAATAGTTTGTTAATGAGGAAGAAGAGTACCCATAAATCAATTCAAAATATGCATACATTTAGTATATTGATATAAGTAAATCTTGATAGTGATAAATATATATATACATATATTTGTTAAACCGATTGTATTAATCATTGTACTCTCACTGATATGATAAGACTATTTTCAAAATATTAAATTATTTATGTTTGATAATCGTTGATTTAATTATCGTTAATCAAATTTATTATTCTTTAACAAACCGAATCTTTTTTTATTCAGCCCTTCAAACATTTTTATTGAGCTTCCTTTCTTAACCTTCTTATCGAGCGATTGTGCTGCATTTATTTTTAAAATATTCCCCCAGAGAAATATTCACTCTCTTTCGCAGCTTTTGCGACCTGATAACTGCTGAATTCGCAACGCAAACAAGTGGATTTTTGCGGCGAGAGATGTTCTGTGTGTGGATTAAATGGCAGACTTATGTAGGCGAATAATTACGAGTTTTTTATTTTATTGAGCACTGACTAAAAGAGCGAGTGGAAGGCGGCAACGGGTTTTCCCGCCCCGCTGCAATCAATGAGACTCGATCGATCGGCTGGCTAATCAATGCAATGCAATGCAACCGCTGGGGATGGAAAAGCCAAGCTCCGCGACTCCGCGACTCTGAGATTCCGTGAATCCGAGGGTCGCGGTGCGAGGCCGCCGATCGCCAGAGATCAGTTGATTGCCAGCCACCGGGGACGCAGCATCGCCATCGGCTCGAGAATCAATCAGAGCGGAAAGTTGGAAAATAGCAGAGGCCATTGGAAAATCGGGAAAATGCTGCAGCTCCTGCTTATCACCCTTCTTCTGGCCCTTTTGGGGGCTCAGGCCCAGCAATTTGGCAGTAAGTTCCCGGCTTATCACTAAACCATTAAAAAGGTTTATTTTACAGAAACTCCTTCCTATTCCAGAGGTCATCATGCATTTTGGCAACTGCAACTCGGCGGAATACGGCAGAGGCACCTGCATCGAGAAGAAGGACTGCGACTTCTACGCCGTGGAAAAGCTAACGGACTTCGACAGCAAACGGCAGTGTTTCTCCCGCCAGCGACCCGATCTGGTAACTATATATATACTATATACCATATATATTCCCGAGTGGCAGTAAAAGTAAAGGCCCAGCAAACACGTTTCCCACCTTCAACCAGTTTTCAAGCTCCGTGGAGATCTTCTTCATCTGTTTAATGTTATTAATTAGCATCGATCGTTTATTAGCCTCACGTTTATTTACGTCTTACGAAACACATAGACATTTTTCACAAAATCGTGTAGTTTCCAACTACTTATTATTGTTTTGCCGCCCTTTGTGTATACCTTTCTAGTACATTTTTGTCATAAAACAGAGTGAGTTTCTTTACCCAGAAAAAAACATCAAGATGAGTTGTTTTCTTAAAAAAATCTTTATTAAAAATGCTTCTAATTTTATTTGGTAAATCCAATATTAAGTATTTCACTTTGTAATATTAGCTTAAAAATGTATATAATTTATTGGCTAAGCTGCCTGTATGCTTTTTGCTCACAATTGACCTCGAACTGGGAAAAAAGCTTATTGAAAACTAGAAAGGTGACAATGTTTTAATGCACATATTTATGCTATTAAATTATATTTTATTTTCCAATAATCTCTGTAAAGTGCACAGCAGAGCAAGACTGAATGCACCTTGCGGTTTTTAAATAATCTAAATAGGGTATGGTAGATAATAATTTGGAAATTATTAAGTCAATTGGTTAATGAGTTAGAAAACCTATTTAATGTTATATTTGACACATATATGAAGTGCAGACGATTGCGAATACATCAATCAAATTTATTTTTCCATTGCCATAATTGATAACCCAACCATTATTTGAACATACAACCACTTGATGAATAACTTTTCCTCATTAATTCCATCAGGTTTGTTGCCCCCGCGAGACGAACATCATACCGCCGTTGAGTCCGAGGATTAGGACCGACAACACCACCGGCGGGGTGAACACCAGCACCACCCTCATCCTCCCCAGCACCACCACTCCGCTGCGGCTGGTGGCCCGCACCACGCCACGCCCACCCACCGGCATCGACCAACTGCCCCAGCATCCGTACTGCGGATCGGCCTTCAACTTCCGCCTGTTCGGTGGCCAGAACACCGGCCTCTTCGAGTTCCCCTGGACCACGCTGCTGGAGTACGAGCTGCTCGGCGGCGGCAAGGACTTCGCCTGCGGGGCATCCTTCATCGCCCAAAGGTGGCTGGTCACCGCCGCCCATTGCCTCCAGACGCCGGGCAGGAATCTCACCGCCGCCGTGCTGGGCGAATGGAACCGGGACACCGATCCGGATTGCGAGAACAACCTGAGCGGCGTGCGGGAATGTGCCCCACCGCACATCCGCGTGACCATCGATCGCATCCTGCCGCACGCGCAGTACTCGAACATTACCTATGTGAATGACATAGCCCTGCTGCGACTGTCGCGTCCGGTGAACTGGCTGCAGATGCAGTACCTCGAGCCCGTCTGCCTGCCGCCGCAAAGGGGCAGGAATGCCAATCAGCTGGTGGGCTCCGCAGCCGACGTTTCCGGGTGGGGCAAGACGGAGACCAGCGGCAGCAGCACGATCAAGCGGAAGGCCATGCTGCACATCCAGGCGCAGGACCTGTGCCAGGAGGCCTTCCTCAAGGAGTCCAAGATAGAGCTGGTCGACAGCCAGATGTGCGCCGGCGGTGAGCTCGGAGTGGACTCCTGCAGCGGCGACTCCGGCGGACCGCTGACCGTGGAGGGCAACACGCCGCGGGGCAACCGCTATGTGTACCTGGCCGGAGTGGTCTCCTTCGGACGCGAACACTGCGGCACCGCGCTCTTCTCCGGCGTCTACACCCGCGTCACCAGCTACATGGACTGGATCGAGAACACCATTCGAGCGAACCGCGTTTGAAGAGCCAAACTTATTGTGACATTCGATGACATTAAAAAGATTTTTTTTCAAATATAAATAATATTTATTATATTTTTTATATGAAGCGCATTTTATTTGTGGAGAAAGAAAATACAAATACTAATATCTCTCTTTCTCTTCTATAAGAACAAAAAGACACGGCAAAGCAAAAGTAAGTAAAAGCAAAACTAAATATGACCTTAAATGAAACTTAACTTAAATTATTGAAATCAATTAATATACGAATTGATCCGAAACATGCTTTGATAAAACGTAAATTTTGATATTAGGATGGATAGCAAAACTTAGACATATTAGGAACATATTAGGAACATAGGAACTAATGTTAATAGCTGCTATTATTAAAATGTTCACAAAAAAATGCCCTGCATAGTTATCCTAGCGAAAAATTCCATGAGGATTGACTAATCAAAGTTCCCTTACAATTTTGCAGGCAATGACGTTCCACAAACTACGGTCGATTGACAACAGTGCGTATGAAATGTTGAAGCAGCTACCTGAGGTATTTCCCCGTACAGGTTTTCCCTCTCTTTTTATTTGTCTGGTTTTGTGGGTCGTCACATCACTGACGTCACTGATTTCCGGCGTGCAATTTACCTAACATGTTCACACAACCTATCGCCCACAATCTTGATATCTGCCCAGATTAAACTGTTTGCTCATGACACCAAAGGCTTAAAATGATGGTGAGCTATTTGAGCGGGAACTGTTTTTCTTTGTCAAGATTCTCTAAACTCCACGAGAATTTATATGCAATGGAGCGAAATTTTAGTCTTACAATCCATACAGATCTAATTCAAATGTTTGTTTATTTATGGAAATGTAAAAAAAAGATATCCATATATATGTTCTTTGAAATCTTACAGGCCTCTCTTCTTTTACACCTGATCTTGTATGACTATTATTAAATAATAAATGTGTGGTCTACTTTTCTAAGTGACCATGATTCACTACAGCTCTATTTTACAGTGAATTAACCAGTCATCTTTGGAATTTTCTTTGCGATATGACTGTCATCTTAGGTATTTGACAACTTCACGTTGAATATTTTATTTAAACAGAATTAAGATTAATTTTAAGTTGTTCTATTGGCCCTACATTGAAACCGTTTGAATAAACATACAAAATACCTCATTCTTCAACTGAGTGTTAATACTGGTCTGCTTTTTATTGATGGAAAATTCCATATTTGACATGTGCTTTCTTATTTAATACTCTTATACTCATAAATGTATCTGCTTTCATTACAGGATTTCCCAAGAAGATTGTTTGGGTTGGTCTAGAATATTCACTTTGTTCCTTCTCACAAAATATTCTAAAGAGCATATCCCTCTATTTCTTGTTTAAAGCAAACATCAAGCTAATAATAGGTTCAAGTAAACATTGAGTGTAAATCAGACAACACCGCTGTTTTTATCTTTATCGACATCAGTTTATTACTTATCATTATTACCAGCTACACAATAAATAATGTAATAAATACTTCGATGGTCACATTGTGACGCAACTACGACTAAAATAAGTTAGCTTACGGCTAGTTCAAAAAAAAAACGGAAGAGAGTTGTTAAGTTGGGGAGATTTTTCCGGCAAATGCTCAGTTGTGGCGTCCGAAGATGACCGCCCGGCGACACCGATCCCGGTGATCCCTCATCTTTCCGGCGGGACAGGGCTTCGATAGTTTCCGGGAGACGAGGAGCTGGCCGGTGAGGGTGCGACTGTTGGGGCTGTAGAAGATCAGGCGACGGGCTTCCGTGGTCGACGGACTGTGGGCCAAGATCAGGCCCAGCACCACAAAGGTCAGGATCAGCAGGCGATGGAGTTGCATGTTCGGTATGGTATTCCTATGGTATGATTATTCCGAGAGGTTTAGCCTTAGTTTTTGCCGCGACGTTCTAGTTTTTCGTGGGGTTCGATCCACCTGGGAGTCGCTTTTATGACTGCGCCTGCTCTGCGCTATTGTGCCCGCCGATATTCAACGTCGATAGCCAAAGACGGCGACCGCCGGCCCGCAAATCGATAAGATAAGCCCCCAAAGGCATTCCGCTGGCACGCGATAAGATATCGGGCATATGTATATAGCATACCATATATACACACAAGCGCCCATTGTCTGTGGGTCGCCCCTGGATCTAAAACATACACAATGCGACAATGCCATTGGCTGCTATTTTCGATCCTCGTAATGACGAAAGCGTGGGGGAATTTACGAGTGCGAGTGCCAGGCGGTGTAGTAGAATTCCACTGTCGTGCGTCGGTGCGATAGCCCCGGATCGCCAGAAGTCGTTGGGAGTTCGGCACTTCGTCACCGGCTGGATCACTGACCAGCCCTCTTATCGGTGACGCCCCATCCGGTGGCCCCAAACTATATCCATGGTATCGCCCCAGTTCAGCCCGAAAATATGCAGTGTGTCCCGCTCGAGAATGGTGTAGAATTCAGGGTTCGAGCTCTTTCGACTTGTCGAGCATTGTTTACAGCCAGCGGATGATAAAGGTGTCGAGAAGTGGAAATCATAAATTACTCAAGTACAAGGAATTTGAGACCTACGTCAAGGTGGTGAAAATATAAATTGGTAATGTAAAGGGTGTTTTTTTGGCTTATTTTATTGGTTTTTTTTATGAGCTGTATCGTCCAACAATCATCTGGGATTAAAAGTATAATTCATTATTTTTCGTCTGATTTTCAAATTATTTAAATGAATTTGCATCATCAAAATGGGTCAAAAAAATTAAAATTTTTTAAAATGGTTTTTAATTAGGTACCTTTAGTATCCCAAAATGTGTATCTGATTTAGTCTTCAAGGATGTCTACAAAACTTTGTTATTGCTTTGTTGTAAAAAAAATCTTTAAGAAATTCTAAGACGCCAATTAATAATAAGAGTTATAATTAAGATGAGAAAAACAGAGTTCCCTAATAGCAAATGAAATAAAAAGAGTGCTGGATAAGTCTACGATTTTTATGGCCGCATAATCCAGCACCTTCTGGTCATTTGTGAAATCGGAATTTCATTCAGTAATTAAGTTCGACTCTGCTGACATGTCGATAAGGCTGTTTGATGAATCCAAATCGAAGCCGAATCACCTGCGGACTGATGGCCGCGCCATCTGATTACGTGCAGCCCCTCCCCCAACTGACGTAGGGGTACAAAGTTTGGCGGACGGCTGACCAGCGGACAATGCGGACAATATGTGGTATATACCCAAACATATTCCGATCTGTGCGAGTGTTTCGGCACATTCGAGTGATCGATACATGGACGACGGCTGTGACGCATAAAATATTACGTGTATTCACACCGAATAACCAGGGGATTAGGAGGATTGATGGGGCTGATTTTAACTGTCAAAGCTTACAAAAATAAAATATACAGGATAAAACTAAAAATATCATGATCTGCATTTTTGGAAAATGGTAATTGATTAAAATATGGTAATTTTTTTAATTACACAAAAATGGAAATACTATACAAATAGTAAGATTTTTTCTTAACTTTTGTTGTTCATTTTATATTATTTCATTTTATATCATTTTCATGTTTTTTATAGATCAAAATTCGTAAAAAAAATGTAAAAACTAATGTTATCTAAAGACAAATTTGATTAAAAAAATTTAATTGCTTTTGAAATAATGTTTTTTTAATATTTGTTTTTTCTGTAATGCAACATACAGTGCAACATTTAAATAAGTGAATACTCTTAAAAAAATATTTTTGTTAAAAAATTGTTTTATTGTTTATCACATTTAAAGTAATTAGCTAAGACTTTAATCATTATAAACGCATATTAAATCTTAAAACAATTTAAATTCGCAGTCTGATAGAATAAAACATAGACTACGATAACAGGGATACAAATTATAGCGGAAAGAGTCATAGGCAACCACCTGTGGCAGGTGAGACCGATTAATGCCCGATAATTGCCCTCCGATAGCTGCTCCGGCATTTGCGTCAAGTCGGCATTATAATTATTAAATCAAATATTTCCGATTCCACTCGTGGAGCTGATTATAGAAATCCCCTGCGTAATGCATATTTAAATGATAAGATACTCGCTACTGCAGAGGCCTAGAAAAAGCTGCCGAAAATAACACATCGCATTGCGACCTTCAATGGAATGCAGTTCAAGTTAATTAAATGGTAATCAACTCAAAATGCATTTCGCAATTCATGCAGCAAAACAAAAATCACTAGTATTCAACAGTGTGTTTAGGTTTTATTATTCTTTAAATGTATAGCGTGCGAGGCAGATAAATAGCATAAATAAATAGGTTTTTGTTGAGAGAGTGCGAGATTCGTTCGATGATGGATTCACTTCGGATCACTTCAGCAGCGCACGCCATCTGCAAGAGATAGGGATATTGTGTTAGCACTGGGTAAATTTCACTCTACGGTGACGCACTGGGCGTATACGTAATGCGTATACGTGATATGACCGAACCCACCTGCATTATAAGAGATGATGCGCCGGCAATTGCCGCGATGATCGACCATATGACACTTGGGACAGGTCTTCTCCATGCCATGAGTGGCCAGGATCTGGCCACGATGGATGCCATTCGGCTTCATGAAGATCACGCGACGGGATTCACTGGGCGTGGGGGCACAGAACACGATCACGGCCCAAAGGCAGAGTGAGTAGAGCAGCAGCTGGTGCATCGACATCGTTTCTCTCTCAAAGCGTGTTTATTTATATGTATATATATATACAAATATTATAGAGGTATATAATGACCGAAGGGCGCGATAAAAAAAAATGTTGAGCCAACCAAGTGGCTTGCTCCAGTGCCGGCAGTTAACTGATTTTATACGAGTTTGGGGTAGCACTTCTTAAGTGTTCTGCCCGCTTGCCTTTTCATCAGTTGATAAACGCCGAACACAGGGTGTTCGGTACTTTCCTTAACCACCAAGAGCCATAGATTTCCACGACTACGAAGACGTCACCCTGTTTCTGGAGGGGGAAATCTTATCTTGTCCTCCATGCCATTTGCAATCTGTGTAATTGAGTGCTTCGTCGCCCCAGCACTGATTTCGATTCCCGCCCGATGCCAATTCGAGCGGTTGCCGAGCGAGCGGGTTGGGCATTGGTACCTAGAAACACGGCGACCCGGACCCGATAATATCACCATCGTTGAGCCCATTGCATTTGCATAGGACGTGGCTCTTGAGCCCCCTTTATAAGGAAAAACTACGGGGATTTGAAGGAGTTCTCTGCGGGAGATAGAACTGGGGATTTTTCGCCGCTCTTCTCAGAAGTTTTTATGAGTTAACCTATATCACACATGGATCCAAGAACTATAAAAGTTGGATAGAAAACAAAATCAAGAGGATCTTAGTGATTTTTTTATAATACAGGATAGGTATTTATACTTAGGACTGGAAAAATAATATCGAATTTATCATTTAATTACACATAAAAAATAGAATTGCAATATATAAAAAACTAAAGGAAATTAAATAATAAATTAAATAACATTAAATACCTTCTTGAAAATCACTAAAATATCTCAGGATTTTAAATTTGAATTTTTTAGTTCAACATTAATATTAATGCATGAAAAATGAATAAAAAAAATATTAAGGTAGAAATACCACACTTTTCAGTATACTGCAAAAATCTTTGGTACTGTTACAATTTAGGTATTTTCTAAAATGAAAAACTGTATTTAAAAAACGCAAGGAATTATTATATTGATGGGTGATTAAATGAATTAAGGTACCGAGTATCTTATCTCAATAAACAAAAACCCCTCCTTTAACTAGTCAGATTAACACAGAGCAAAACCTATCACAAACTTTCCAAAACACCAGGCCCACTGAAATAGATAACCCTATATTTTTAGAGCTGAGTAAGAACGTGGGTTAATTGGCTTGTGCTCCCCGTATTTTCGGTGAGTTAGCCATAATCAGAACAGATAGCACGCTTCCAAGAGCGTTATGAACTTTGACAAATAGATCCAGGGTGATATTTTAGCTTCGTAACGATCGCGAAGTGAGCCATGCGAAATTCCGTGTAAAATGTTTTTGGCCAATCATCGGGGCTTTCTGGAAAGGCGGATGGAGGGGCTGTGTGGTCGGTGATCACGCGACTACCCATTGATTGTCTATCTGCAATTACGGATCGTGGAACGTCACAGATCCAAGATAGTTACCTTATCGTACACCCGCTGAAATTTCCCGAAAAAGTGACCGAATAAGGGTCTTGGATGAGGAGCCACCCGTTATTATAAATAACGCGCTGAGTCAGAAGCTTTCCTCGAGTCAGCGTTATCTCCTTGTTGCCGGAGTGGTCGGGTCTTGTATTCGGTATCTTGTATCTTGTATATTGTATCTTGCAGTATCTGCAGAAAACTACGAAGCCTACTATTTCATCATACTCTTCGTGACTGGCGACACGTGATGTGACGTAGTTTCGATTTCATGACGAGGCGCAAGGGTTAATGTCCACTGGATAAATCTAGGGTTTTCGGGGGTCTGGAATATATATATGAAATAGGCGTAAACGACTTGGGCATCAGTCCAAAGTCTTTCCTACTTTTGGACCTATAACTTTAGATTAGGTAATTTAATTGCGTATTTGGAAATGGCAAAGTATAAATGTAAAGAAATTTGTAAGTAGTTTACTTAATTTTGTTTAATATTTTAATTTAATTAAATATTAATTCACTCTTACAAAAGATTTGATAATATTGATAAATTTGGCACACCAGCAATAGAAAGATAATTAATAAAGCTTTTTTTAAACAATGTTCCATTTTAAATTTGAAAAAAAACAATATAGGTTAATGTCATATAACTAGAGCTTGGTTACTAAGAGGACCCGAATAGTATTTGCTTAACTTTTCGCTATCTGTCATATAGTATTTACAAGATCAGCAGACAGTTTGCTTAGGCTTTCCATTTAATCTCTGAAGGCGCACAGACTTAACATAAACACTAATTTAAAATTAACTAAGCCAAGTGGGAGATTCCATTTTTAGACAATCTAAGAAGGTAAACAAGTTAAAATTAGAATAACAAATATTATGGAGTTTTTAGAGAGCACTCACCCTTCTACAACGTCCATGGTGATCGCGAATGAAGCCATGGCGACAGCGATTTCCCCGCGTATCGAAGAGCATGCCCTTGCCCACGCTGCCCGTGTTGTTTTTGGCCAACTCCTCGGATTGGGTGCTGTTCAATTGGTTGAAATATATCACCTTTCCGGTTCCACTGCACGAGGAGCCCAGCAGCAGAACGAGGATCAGCAGACAGCCGACGGAGAGCAGTTGCGATCGCATCTCGACCCAAGGGTTCCAATCGCACTGAGCTGTTATTTCTGATTTGGCGCTGGCCCGACGATCCAGCTTATCACTGGCTGATAAGCTTGTTTACTCAGAGCCACGAGTGTCTGGGTCTCGCTGGACACTCCAGATCTCAGCCAAATTATCTCGATTTGTTTGGGCCATTCGAAGGAATCTCTGCATACTTTCGGGCTTTCTCGGCTTTTTTTCAGCCAAATATTTAGTAAAGCCATAGATAAGATATAATATTCAGGTTACAAAACAGTCATTTCTTAGGCTGAGCGTCGTTTTTGGGCGAAGTTAGACCAAAAACCCCTAAAAAGCGTTTCCTGGAAATGGCTGAAAAAATCGTTTTTTTAATCAAAACTCTTGGAAATAGTAGTCGCATGTTATATTGTCATACCTCGCTGAATTCGTTATAAAATTTCTAACAAAGTGGCATTCACAGCTAAAAAATTTTATTTTTGACCCACTTTGACCAAAAATCATGATGTAACCCCTTATGAAAAATTCGAAAATGGGTAAAAAATTTTGTTGTCAAAATTTGTCCACAGCTTCACAAAACAGTTATTCTTTTGGCTGTGCATCGTTTTTTGACAAAGTTAGAGCAAAACAAGAAAGGAAAGCTAACTTCGGGCGGAGCCGAAGTTGATATACCCTTGCAGAATACTCTGTAAATTATATTCTCCAAAATTATTCATATGATGCATTCTTAATACTCAAAAAAAAAACCCAACTTCCTAACTTTAAAAACATCAAAGTTATGGCTTTTCCAATCGTTCAGTTATATGGCAGCTATAGGATATAGTCGCCGATCCTTATGAAATTTTGTAGGTCGGATTAATTGGCCAAATAAAAAACCCATAGAAAGTCCCAACTTCCTTACTTAACAAACAGCAGAGTTATGGCATTTCCGATCAATCAGTTATATGGCAGCTATAGGATATAGTCGGCCGATCCTTATGAAATTTGGTAAATCGGATTGATTGGCCAAATATAAAACCCATAGAAAGGCCCAACTTCCTAACTTAACAAACAGCAGAGTTATGGCATTTCCGATCAATCAGTTATATGACAGCTATAAGATATAGTCGGCCGATCCTTATGAAATTTGGTAAGTCGGATTGATTGGCCAAATATAAAACCCATAGAAAATCCCAACTTCCTAACTTTACAAACACCAAAGTTATGGCATTTCCGATCGTTCAGTTATATGGCAGCTATAGGATATAGTCGGCCGATCCCGGCCATTCCGACTTATATACTGCGTGCAAAGGAAAGAAGGGTGTGTGCAAAGTTTCAATTCGATATCTTTAAAACTGAGAGACTAGTTCGCGTAGAAACAGACAGACGGACAGACGGACAGACGGACAGACGGACAGACGGACATGGCTATATCAACTCAGGAGGTGATCCTGATCAAGAATATATATACTTTATAGGGTCGGAGATGTCTCCTTCACTGCGTTGCACACTTTTGACCAAAATTATAATACCCTCTGCAAGGGTATAAAAACCCTTAAAAGAGTTTTTCGGAAATGCTACTTTTGGCAAAAAATTCCGAATGAATCAACTTTATTTCCTTTTTTATCAAAACCCTGGGAAATAGTGGTCGAATGATAGAATGTTATACCACGTGGAATTCGTTACAAAATTTGCAATCAAGTGGTTTTCACAGCTAAGAAATTTTATTTTTGTCCAATTTTTCCTCTTGAAAAATATTATTTGTCAAAATGATCATACAAACTTTTGACCAAATTTTTTCACCCTCTGCAAAATCTGATTGATTTTGCATTGCATTAAAGGAATTTCGACCTCAGAGGTAAGTTAAAAATAAATAAATTATGAGTGAAAAGGTTGACAGACCTTTTTGGCAATCGTTTTTGAAAAGTTTTAAGAGATCGTAGTCTAAAAATGCGCTGTATTTTAATGGGACAAATGTCAGACTGTGACAATGTAAAAGCTGGTTCGTAATGGGTACGATAAAAATATTTTTTGGCACAATAAGCCCATTTAATAAAGTGCTAGAAATCATAATTTTAACACAAATAAATTGACAAAATGTTCAAATTTGTACCATATCAAAGAAACAAAGACCTGTAATGGGTAATGAGTTTTCTATACATTTGTTTTATTTTCATATGATTTATCGTCTTACATCACAAGGAGGAACTCTAGTTTTGTCTGTTCACATACTGCCCTTATTCCCTGACTTTTTGTGTATTTTCCTAGACCATTTCCCTTCGTCTTGGGTGGCTTTCTTGGGGTCTTGTAGCTTTTCCTCTATCGTGCGGTGGCGCCCGGCGCTGCTCGATATACACAATTATCGGGATCCACGGTGATGAGCTCTGTGAATTGCAGATGGGGATAGCATATGGTGTTTTTGTTTTAGTTTATAATTCCAGTCTATATAATTTGAAACAACATTTAGCTGTCCTGATTTAGAAATGTGTTTGTTGGTGTTAATTTAGTTTAGTGTTAATTGTTTGTGTATTGCCATATATTATTTTAATGCTATTATTTAATGATATTAATTAATGGAATGCAATGTACACTAGTTTATTATGTATTGCAATAATATATCATATAATATCTTACCCTGAGCCGCATCCTTGCCGCAGCTGCGTTGGCTGGTGTTCCTGGGCCTGCCCCTGGATCTCCGTGGCTCCTGCTCCAGATCCCTTTCGTCCTCCGAGGTGGAGAGTGTCCTCTGCTGCGGTCTCCTGCGTATCGTGGCCTGCACGACACTGGCAGCTCCTTGGGGCTCCTGCTCCTCCTCCCCCTCGCCCTCCCTCTCCTGCAGGATGTTCTCGCTGGAGGAGTGCTTGGGCGGACGACGCCGGCGATGCCTCATCTTCTGGGAACTGAAGCTCTCCTCGCGGATGACCAGGGTGCCCGCCTTGCTGGTTCGCAGGTAGTAGCGCGGCGCCTTGACCACCTCCTCCTCCTCCTGGGCGAATTCCGGCGAGGAGTGGCGTCCCTTCGACAGACTGAACCTCTCGAGGATGGAACTCTGCGAGCGGCGATAGCGTCTCTTCTCTCGCGGACCCGAACTCGAGGAGTTCAGGGTGGAGGTCGATGGGGGCGTTGGGTAGACGGGCAGATCCTCGGCCTCCTGGAAGCGAACGCCGCGCAGGGAACTGGATCGCCTGGAGCTCACCGATGGCTCCCAATTGGGCAGTTCGTGGGTGCTGAAATCAATGCAGCTGCCGTGCGTTTTCCGCCGCCCACTTTCCCGGCTCGAACTGGGCGTGGCCGTGGACATGACCGAGGGCGTGGCCTCCGCTATTCGCAGGCCATGGAAATTGCGCTCCAGACTCAGGTTGGAGGTGGCCGAACGCTTGCGTCGTCGCTGGGACTCCTTGGATGTGTAGGTCTCCTCCTTCTGGCCATCGGCATCCACCAGGAGATTGCCCGTGTGGTCGTAGAGGAGGATCCGGGGCAGGGCTATGTTACTGCAGCTGCGGGAGGTGCTCAGCTCCCAGTTCCAGTGCGGTGGCTTCTTCAGTTTCAGACTGAGCAGATTGGCCAAGGGGTCCTCCTCCGCCTCCACTTCCCCCTCCTGCAGAGCCTCGTCCCCATCTTCAGCTTCCTGGGACATCGCAGCTCATCAGCTATTGTCTCTTTGAAGTGGGTTTTTTAGGGTCTCCTTTTTTTGATCTTTTGGGGTCTCCGTTTCCTTCCACCTGTTGGTTGTCCGTTCTCTTGTTTGATCTGCCTTTATCTGCCGCTGCTTCTTCTTCTTCATTCACGGCTGATCTCCTGCTTCTTCTTGTTTTTTTTTTGGTAGCTGCTTTGGCCTTTGGCCAATTTATTGTTTATCTCAACTATGTCTGTACAGGCGGCACTCAATAAACGAGCATGTTGCCTTTGTTTACTACTGTTTGTTTCGTTTGATTTGGATTGTTTATTGTTTATGTATTTAATTGTGTTCTAAAATTGTTGTGACTTTAGTTTTATTTTATTTTTGTGTTGGGAAAAGTTTTTGGGAAATGAAACCTTGGAATTTTTAGTTATTTCATGTATTATTTGATTTATACCCTTTGTTTTGGGCTTTATTTTATATATATTATTATTACGTGGCGTGTAGCCTGGCTTCACTGTCCTTCGCTTTGGATGCTGCCCACGCTTCAATTATTTTTGGCTTCTTTTTTTCAGAATTCCCTCTCTTTTATGTTCTGCTATTTTTAGTTGATCCGCTCCCAGAGGCGCTCCCGTTCGCTTTCCCAATTTCCCGACTTTTCCCGCTGGTGACACTTGAGTGGGACACACTGTGCCACTTTTTAGGGCTGTCACAGAAACCAAGGCAAAAAAAATGAAGGCACAAAAAGAAAACACCACACAAGAACTGAGTTTTATGGGTTGGCAAACCAAAACAGAGATGGGAAAACACAGCGATCTTTTTCGCAGACAGATATATATATATGTATATATATTGTATATATTGTGGAGCTCTCTCGCTCGCACTCAGCGGCTCCCCAACTCGCCGTCCCGCTCCGACTCGCGTCTGCTGTCTCGCTCTTTTCTGTGCCGCCGATCAGCTGCGATAGCGTTGAGTTCCGCCCGCCAACGTGCCTCGTAGCCAACTGTTCGACTTGGCCGCATCTCGCAGGCCCAAAAAACACCCACCCTGCCACCCTCCCCGTACCGCCCACTCCGCCCCCCGAAGATCCATCCCCCCCCATCACCACACTGGCAATTTGCATATTTCACGCTCTCACAACGAGCACTTTTTCGGAACAGATCAGCCATGCATATCTGAATTTAAATACCCTTGCAGATTGTTTTCATTATTATTAAAATTGTCAATTAATCAAATGTTATTTAAAATTTAGGGAAAATCGTCGTGACCCACAGTGAAAAATGAATTACATCTGTTTAGTGCTCATTAATTAATAACTCATATACTTATAGAAAAATTCATATTTGTTTAACTATATATATCCTAACAGATCGGGTTAAAATGGTTTTCAAAATCTTTTCAAATTTTTTGTAATAGTATTAATATTTGATAATATTTAAGAATACGACTTTTTAAAAAAATAAATATTTAAATAAGCAATGAGATCCTTAAAATATTTTAAACTCGATATAAAATACAGTTTTGTTCAAAAAAAAATAAATTATAGTTAATAACAATTTAATTGTAAATATTCTATGAATTTAGATCTATAAAATTTAAAACAAAAATCTTTTTGCCAAAAAAAACAAGAATTCCTTCACAATAGAAAGTGATACATAAAAATTTCAATCTAATTTCAACAGAAGAGATTTCCGTGTCATCCCCAATTGACATTACCAATCCGGCAAATCTTCTAAAGCATGTCATTAATTAATATTTCGCAAATACACGTAGAGCCTGACTGACCACAGATCACAGTGATAATACCCCATCTTAAAGCGTATGCATATTTGCTGTGTGTTTCTTCACAACATTTTTGTTTATCTATCCCGAGTCACACCCCTTGCCGCCCACTTTTCGTAACGAAGAAAATACACAGTTTTCTGTTATGTTATTGGGAAATGACTGAAACATATGTGGCCGCCGTCGCTCGGCTAATTTGCACCACACTGTCCCCCAACAACACCCCCCTCCCCAGCATTTTGCCATTGAAAAATGACAAACAAACAGGGGCAAATAAAAAAAAATGTGTGGAAGAACGAATCGCAGAGAAAGTAAAGTGGACTGGGAAAATATGTATGGGGAAAATGACTTTTCACATATTTTTCATCAGCCCGTCGAGCATATCGAAAGGCGAGGTCCTGACACTTGCGAATGAGTCAGCTGCTCGGGAATTTGTAAGCCAAGAGATCCGATCGAGGGCATATCGATTACGAGTGGGGATATAACAAAGGGGTCCTCTATTAACAAAATAAAAATTTAATATTTATAACTAACCAATTTATTTATCTTAATTATTCAGTGTAGAAAATCTTTCTCGGTTAATTTATTTTGCATCGATAAAGAATGTGTATAATAAACTTTAGATGACCTCAGTTTAATGCTGCTCAATGAAATATAGATTTAAGCTTTTCAATTGAAATAAAGATTTTGAATTAAATATTTATGTTGAACATTTTCGGTACACATTTCGGGGGTTCCAATGTTTATTTATTTATTCATTCTACGCCTCGACGATTCCGATATGCCCAATAAAACAGGTTCTGCTGCCTGTTTTCCCTGCCAATTTTCGCCATCTGCTGCGACACCCCTAATCCTCATGGCCACCCCTTTCGAGGGGGGTGGGGGTGTTGGGGGCAAAAGGGGGCGGGGCGTTTAGCCTAGCTCGTGGCAATTATGTTTGCGGCTAATTTGTAACTTGTCCGTGCAGGAAATCTAATTTATGCGGACATTGATGCATCGTCACGCGGCGTGAGCCTCAATTAACCGGCGCAGTCCGAAAGTATGCAACATCGGGTTGGAGCTCTACCCCAAATCTTCCCCCCTCCACCCCGCTCCCACTGGCCAAGGTCAGAAGGTTATCGCATTTGATAAGCTTCCGCACAGTTGGTTCCGAGCCCCAAGCTCGCGAGAGTGACTGCTCAAAATTAGTTAAGCCGCAGACTACGCGATGAGCAGATCCCTGTGCATAGTTCTTCTCCTGGGAATCCTCTGCCTGGAGAATCTCCAGGCACGCTCCGTTCCGGACGGAGAACGCCATAGATACGTGCGCAGACGCATCTCCCCCGACGATCCCGATCTGGAGATCATCGAGGTCAAGGAGGTGTTCTATGTGCGTCGTCCCAAGAAGGTGGTGATCCCACTCGACGAGGATGAAATCGACTGGCGCATTCGCTGTGACTTCGAACCAAATCTTCCAGAGTGTAAGAATTGAATATTGTATTATTTTTAAATCATTGAAAAGTACTCAACGTATTTGTAGTATGCCATTTCATTTATCAGATTAGATTTTATGCTGGGTCATCTTCAAAATAAATGCTAATGTTACTTAATTTTAGGTGGGGATTTGGTTAAGAAACCAGTGACTCCCAGTTTGCCCAGAAGGCCACCCACAACCACAACCACTCAGCCGCCCACAACTACCAAAAGCACCACTCGTAGGACCACCACCACTCCGGAACCACTGAGGGATGAGGCCATGGAGCGTAGGATTCGCTGTTATAATGATCCCACACTGGAGGAATGTGAGTTCAGTTCTAAAGATATAGGGGCTTAACTCTAGACAGTCATTCTGTAATTTGCAGGTGCACCCTCTACCACTACTAGTACTAGTACTTCAACTACTACGACTACAACGGAGTTACCCAAAATGCCTGATTTAAATGAAGCAGAACCTGAACCTGAACCTGAACTTGAACCTGAGCATGAACCAGTAGTTGAAGAAGAAGAGGTCGAAGAGAAAGCTGAAACTGAACCAGAAGAGGAAGTAGAAACCGGAACTGAACCAGAAGAGGAAGCAGAAACCGGAACTGAACCCGAAAAGTATATTGAAACTAATACCGGTCCCGATGTCGAAAAAGAGCCCGAAACTACAGCCGATACCCAGTTGGTTGAGGAGGCCACAGAGGCACCAAGTTCCGGGGAAAACTTCGTTTTGTCAAACGACGATGACGAAAGCGATGTCGAGGATGACGAGGATCAGGAGGATGAGGATCAGGATGAGGAGGATCTGGATCTGGAGGAGGAGGCTGCCATGGAGAGGGAGAGGGAGGGGGCTTCTCCCTATATTGGCCAGCACGATGCCGGCGATTGGAACTAGGCCTTAATTGGAAGAAACGCATGATTGGGGAAATTCGATTTGCTCTCTTTTGTTTTAATTGGGTGTCAATAAAATTACAAATTACGGAATTAATAGTGTTTTTCCTCAGTACAAATGTGTTTCGAGGGTTGATCGAGCTAAAAATGTTTCACAGATAAGGCTTTATACTTTTCAGATTATTAGTCAACATAACTTAAATAATATTGGAGTATATTATGATATATATTATCATTATTAACTATATTAATGTCCTTATAGTTTTTATATTGGCCTACAAGGTTCTATGCCTTATAAATATTTAAAGGTATTGAATCTGCTAATTGGAATCGATTAGGAAACTAGAAGGTTGAGTAGTACTTTTGGAATACCCTTTATCATTTACAAGATATCTTTCTCAACTATTCGCAGTTTTTCGAGAATCTTATGGCCTCGTCAATTGTTATATAATCACTAGTAGCTCGTGCCATTGTGGGTCAATTCCAGATCACCACGTTTGAGTCGAGTGTAAATACCAATTGAACGCATCTCGCATAGAACATACTCGCATACTATACATTCCAAAGTCAATAGTCTATTTATGTGCCATATTTGTCACAGCTTCCGGCTCAGCGAAAAAAAAATGCGTATTTACTTGGGAGGCGAAATGTCAGAAACAAAGTCACCCAGGAATAGGGATATGTAGTCGATGGGGCAACCTTATCTGAATTACAGATTCATCGCCCCGTATCTGTATCTATACCATATCATTGTGATTGTGTATTTGTATCTTTGTCGAGTTGCTCTTAAATCAGCGCACAATTGCGATGATTATGGCTGTTCGCCAATTGAATTAAAGAAAATGCGAAGCAAGTGACACACAAAGGCGACGGCGATTCGAATAAAATGGGTGGAAATCGAGGCGCCCCAGGTCAGTCTCAGCAGAGTCAGCGTTCAGTCTGGTTTTGTGTGGATAAAGCCAAAGGAACCGAGAGCTAAATACCGAAATATCGATCGAGATGAATCACCTGCAGGGATCCCTAATCCTCGTCCTGCTGGCTGGCGTGATTTTGCAGAGCCAGGCGGGACTCTTCGATTGCGAGGACAAGATACCCGGACTGGGCGATGTGGCCGACAAGATATCGGAGATATCGGGCAGCAGCACTAGTTCCGAGCACGAGGTCCGCGACTTCTTCAAGAACGTGGGTTGTCACATCAAGGAGGGCGCCAAGAAGCTGGGCGAGAAGGCCAAGGACCTGGGCACCGAGATCAAGGAGGGTGCCCAGAAGCTGGGCGCCAAGGCCAAGGTCCTTGGCAGCGATCTCAAGGACCGCTTCGACGACTTCCGCGACAAGCTGGCCCAGGACTCCGCCGAGGAGATGAGCAAGGATCGCGGCTTCCTGGCCAACGTGGAGATCATCAATCCGGACATCCTCAAGGGCGAGCAGCAGTGCGGCCACGGCCACATCCTGGATGCCTTGGGCAACTGCAGCAAGTTGAGGAAGTAGTAGTTCCCAAAACTTCCCAACACCTCTAATTGCTTAAGTTTTTTTTATAATTTTTTTTTTTTTGTGTAAATAAAAATGGAAAGTGAAAATACAACTGTGGGAAAAGGTTATTTTCAGGGGATTTCCAGCAGGGAATTTGTACATTTTTATTGAGCTATGTCTGTACCTGGATCATCGTCTATCAGTATTTGTTTAACTTGTTTTTATGTTTCTATTTTATGTTTTCGGACATTTCCCTCTCTTTCTTTTTAGTTAAATGTTTAAGCTTTCTCACTTTTAATAGTGACTATATGATGATTCATACATATGCAAATTTAAAGCCTATTAAAGATTAAATAGGTTAACAAAGCTTTTAAGAAATGTCTTTAATAGTTTGCGTTTATTTACGATTTTCTGAGAATAACAAACTCTTTAATATATAAGTTCCCATCAAGGAAGTATGTAATTCAAACATCGCCATTTAGTTAATGTATTGAACACTTTACTTTACTCCTTATAAAAAATTAAGTTAGGCAAATATATAGCAGTATTTGATTATGTTACACATTTTTCTCTTATATTTGAAGTTACAAAAGTATTTAATAAAATAAACAGCATATAAGTACAAGTAAAATATTCTTAAATAAGTTGATGAAACGACTGTTTTCTTCTTGTTACACAAAATTAAAAAATTATATTTTTTAGGTAAAATGAAAATGAAGAACTTTAGCCACCATTCCGAAACCTATCATTTGTTTATTTTGCATCACTTAAGCTGGTTAGTGACTAATTCGGAAAGACCTGTTCTAGATTCTTATGACTTGATAAACTTAATAGTATTATTTAATGGCCGCCTAAGAGATCAACTTGATGGATTAGTCACCTTTGCAATTATTCAAAGTGGTACCCATGAATCTTTCTCTATCCCCATTTTTTTTGTCCCCCACATTCTGGAGAATTCTCCGCCACTCTGCCGTTCCCATTTCTCTATCTCTGGGCCTCTCTTTTCGCTCGCCTAAAATGCATTTCAGTTGCCCGACGACTTTCTCGCCGAGCTTCGCCGCTGAATAAAAAACCCAAAGGCCCAGCCCAAAAGCCACAAGATACCCAAGAACTTGGTCAGGTGGCTGCGGCTGCAAACGGGTTTCAGTCGAGTTTGGGGCCTCAGAGGCGATACACGATATTCGAGAGATCCGCGATGACTAATTCCCTGACCATCGCCGTGTTTTTGGCCTGCCTGTGCCTTTGTTTTGGCCAAATGCAGGCTGCCTCCATCCTCTGTGGATCGTCGGAGGCCAAGTCGGCGGAGGAGGCGGTGACCACGCCCAGTCCCAGTGAGGTCAACAAGTTCGTCCACAGCCTGCAATGCACTTTGGAGAAGGCCAAGCCCTGGATAGCGAACATCGAGAAGGAGGCCAAGATCTTGGAGGAGAAGGCCAGAGATGTCACCAGGTCGCTCTTCCAGCGGATAAACATGCTGGTCAATGTGCTGGCCCTTCCGGCCAACTCTGAAAAGGACAAGAAAAAGGAGAAGGACAAGGAGCAGGAGGAGGTCACCACCACCACCACGGAGGGATCTTCCACTTCGGAGGCTTCTAGTTCCAGTTCGAAGAACGACATCAAGGAGGAGCTCACCACTCCCGCGCCCCCCGTTCCCATGGACTGGCTGGAGGATCAGGCCAATGAGGTGGACTACATCCCAGAGAAGAGCCAGTAGTATATTTACTTGAACTATATGCCTAAAAATATTTATATTAATTAATAAACATTATTGCTCTTGTTTGGCAGTGAGCGATTCCTATTTATGAAAGCGCATTGTTTAATTATTTGTATTTTAAATGCTTGTTTCTACAGAAGTCTGGATTTCAACGACAATTATGGCCACTAAACTAACTAAAATGAAAAATAATAGGTCGCATTAAAATAAACAATTATATATATATTTTTTTTTGGATACATTTATGTTTTTAAAACCTTTTAATAAGCATGCAATTTGTTCAACATAGATAATAATTGTAGTATATTTTCATGGTGACATTGTCCATTGATCTTACTTTCGTAAACAGAGACTTGTTTACTTTAAAAGTATTTAATTTAGCATAACTGGAACACAGAAACTTGTTGGCACCAACGAACCAATTGGGTTAAAGTTCTTGATGAGACGTTTCCTCCTCTTTGTGACTCAGTTCACTTGAGGTTCTTTCCCGACTTTCTCTTCTGGACTTTTCTCGCCACTGTGGTTATTGGCCAAAAATAAACAGACAGCCTGCAAACTGAAGCCCTGCAACTCACGCATAACTTGCGATCCGGTTTTGGTGTCAACGGATTCATTCACTGACTGAATCAGGGAATAACCCAACGCAACAGGAGGCCCATCAAGCGATCTCTCTGTACGATCGGCTTCAATTGTCAATTGCCAGTCGTCGGGAAAGATGCAGCTTCTGGGCACCTGCGGACTCCTGATAATCGTCGTCGTCATCTGCCTGTCATTACCCATCATCCAGGGAATGGTCTGGTCGGGATTCAACTGCTCGGCGCGGGATCACCGCGGCTGCTGCTTCAACTGGATGTATCCCAAGCGGCCGAGACCACCATGTGCCCCCCAATTGTGAGGATGATGTTGCCATCTCTACAAGGAAAAAAAATAATTTACAAAATTCCAAGAATAAGAAACTTTTATTTTTAAAATCCAAAACCACAAAAGAAATCACAACGGACTACTGAAGTAACAATAACCAAGACAACAACTGCAATGAGTATTAAAATAACTTAGTTTTTTTATAAAAATAATTAAATTGTATTTAAAAATAAATTCCATGCTTAGTATTAGTTACTAAAACTACTTACACCTTCTTATATTTATTAAACATTACACAAGCAGAAATAAAAATAAAATATTTCTCTAAAATTTAATAAGTATTAAAACGTAAGTAAGTTGTGGAAAAATATGGTGAAAATTATATTTGATTGAGTGGTAAAATTAAGTGTTTGCTTAAAAAATAATAGTGCCCTCGTGACTTTAGCAATTTTAGTTGATTATCCATCAATTTGGTATATATATTGACCAAACAATAAGTAAATATTTAATGGAGCACATATTAAAGTTTTTGTTTGAGCAAAGAAAATACAAATGAAAACATTTTTTTCTGCAAAAATTTTTATATATTAGTTTAGTTTATATTTCCTAATTTTTTACGTGGTCTGAGGTTGGTATTACGGCACAAATTATCATTATTACAGAATGTGTTTTAACAAGTTTCAAGAATAATTATAAAGTGCTATATAAGCACTATCGCATAGTGCTTTATAATATTTGAGCGAATTAAGACAATTATTTTATAATCGGAGGAACTAAATACTCAAATACATTGAACAAAAAAATGTTCAAAACTTCTAGGCATACGTGAAGGTTTAAACGAATATTAATTAGATAGTTAATAATAAAATTAATTATATAATTAATTAATAAAAGCTTACAGAATAAACATGCGTATCATATAAGTAGGAAACATTGTTAGGTTTTTTTAAAAGATTATCTCATTAAATGTTATACTATTGATGAATCTTCTATGATATTTAAAGTGCAACCCTTAATAACTTTTTTTTCTAGCTAATCCCAAATTAATTTTTTTTAGAAAGTCAATTAAATTTTTCGCTGTGCACCAGAGCTTCTATTACAGCGAGGCTAGAGCAGTTCGCATTGAGCGAACGAGCTCACGAACGCAACTTGATTGGGGTTTATTTTAGTCAGGGGGCAGGGGGAGGGTAAGGGGGGGCTTGGAGCGGAACCGGTTGGCGAAGACCGGAGACCGGAGACCCGAGATTTCGGATCGTAGACCGCCGTCTCGGAGCGGACCGATCAGTCGCGTTGTCAACCTGAAAGCGTCAAGATGAAATCGCTCGTAGTGTGCTCCCTGATCGGAATGGTGCTCCTGATGGCCATGGGCCAGGTGCGTTCCGAGTGCGACGAGGCCAAGAGTCCCGATGACAGCGACTTCAAGCACTTCTTCAAGAACCTGGGCTGCAAGGTCAACCAGGGGGCCAAGGAGGTGGCGGAGGCCGCCAAGCCCTACACCGACAAGATCGGCGAGGGCGCCAAGGAGTTCGGCAGCTCGGTGGCCCAGAAGTACGACGAGCTGAAGCACAAGCTCACGGACGAGTCCTCCACCACGCCCAAGATTCCCGTTACCTATGACGCCCCCACCGAGAAGGTCCTGCTGGCCCCCATCGGCGGACCCAGTTCCCCGGCCCCGTGAGGTCAGTCCACCTGGTAGTTGGAGTCCCAGTCCCAGTTCACTAACCATCCAATCCTTCGATTTCAGGGAATGGTAATCCGACTGGAGGTCCCCGCTTCGTTGCAAAAGTTTTCTTTGTTTTTTTTTTCTTGTGATCTATTTTAATAAAACGCTTAATCAAGTGATGTTGGAATCGTGACCTGTGTTTTGCGACTTAATGGAGTGCTGATAAGCGGGGCTTAGTCGGGGTCCCACAAGATCAGTGGTTATCAATGCGAAGCTAATCAAATGGGAAAGACTGATGAAAAACAAAACCTTTGTTAGGGGATCTTGGAACCTTGGAAGTCTGACCTGAAATTCTGTTTCATTAATTTCAATGAGAGTACTCAATGTAATCTAAACAACGCTTAGAAATATGTCTATAAGTAGGAGCATAAATAAAATGTAAAAAAATTGAGTATAGAATTTATAAGATTCAAGATAAAGAAATTTAAATAAAATCTGATCTGAAAAGTAATAAAATAATTTTAAAAAATACAATTAAAACACTTAAAACTTAAACATTTTTAAATCTTAAAATGTTTAAATGCCTCAAGACCACAAAGTAATGTAGTATAATTATTGGGAAAAACAGGGAAACAATAGCCGAGATGTGAGAGCAATAAACAACTTGAAAAAAAGCAAACCGCAAGGGATTTACATTTGAAATGTAATTATTCAAATTTAAGCCCCATTGTTAACCATTATTTCTGAGAACTGAAGTGATGTGCAGAAACACTCAATTGAGATCATAAAGTCGAACATCGCCGCTCCCTTTATAAACGCCGTCAAGCCGTCAACCTTTACTCACTGCCGATCCAAATTATATAGCCGAGATGCTGTTGATCAGCCACCATGACGAACAGTTCGTTTTCATCGCAGGCCTATAATTTATTAGTGATTTGTTACCGTTTGCATGTGGAAACTATGGAACACATTGTGTATTAGGGCATTGAAATATGTACTTAACAGTGATCTAAATTTGAGCGTAAATGCTCTTTTGTAAAAGACAAAGAAGCCGGCAAATATAATAATCTCATGACAAGGGAACATCTGACATGCAACGATAAGATAATAAATACTGTTTAAGCTAGAACAAATATTTATTTAAAATCATATCTTATCAGACAATAAGAGATAAACTAAAAAATGTAAATTAGCATTGGAAACCCCGTAATCCGAGATATTTCCAGGGTATTTTCCGCTTCACGGCTGTGTAGTGTTTATAGTATAGTATTTTTATTGCCTTTTGACATTTGTCTTGTCATTTCGAGATTGTTTACATTTCGGTCGGCTTCTGTTTGAACGACTTGCCTTCGTTTGGCTAATTTATTTATTCACTTTTGAGTGCGGATGTCCCAATGTCAAACCCGCAATAACAGTGCTTTTCTACAATGAACGGCAAGACATTTTCAGAATGCCAATTGGGATTTCCCGATCGATTGATCGAATTACAGCTTGTTTTCGCCTTTAATTGAATGAGATCGCTCGGTACTTACATGATGCTTACGTAAGTGAGGAGATTACTCATAATGTCTGAACTTTAGCACGTAGTTTTGGATGAGGCTGTTTAAATTCGAAACTTCCGCACTGGCTTTTTATTCAGCTAGAGTTAAACTGGTTGTCGGACTTTTAGACTAATTGTTCTTTTGTGCAAATTACTCATAACTGCACATGCGTCGCAGTGCTAAAACCCGAAACAATTAAGGCAATCAGCATACACAACCAACTGACTCACATGTCACAATCATCAAATAAAAACTGCCAACGAAAATAAACACAACACATAAATCAGATTATCACTTCGGGTTTTGAAAGCACAGTTGAAATTGGAGCTGGAAGTGGAGGGGATTTGTTTTCAATGGGTTGGAGTGCCAGTTGTTTAATGGAGAATTGGAATTGGTTTTATTTGAGAACTGTACACTTTAATTATTTTTATGATGTTACTTGCACAAAAGGTAACCTACAACTAAAAGACAGCAAACGATCTCAGCCTTCGATTTTTGGCATATCCTGCATTTTTCATTTTTGCTTTAATAAAAAAACAGAAGTTGATTGTTTCGATATTTTTTTTCAAAGAATGTATTTTCCAGAAGCGTTATTTTGCTATAAATTAGGCCAATTACTACACACAGCTAAAAGAATAACAGTTTTGTGCATCTGTGGACCCAAATAATCGATTTCAGGTGGATTTTGACAAACAAAATTTTTTACCCATTTTCGGATTTTTCATAAGGGGTTACATCATGATTTTTGGTCAAAATGGGTCAAAAATAAAATTTTTTAGCTGTGAATGCCAATCGATTGGAAATTTTATAACGAATTCGACGAGGTATAACATTCCAACATGCGACCAATATTTATGACGGTTTTGATCAAAAAACCAAAACTCAAGTTGATTTTTCTGAATTTTTTGCCGAAATAAACACTTTTAAGGGTGTTTTTGCTTTAACTTCGCCAAAAAACGATGCACAGCTAAAAGAATAACCGTTTTGTGCAACTGAGGACCCAAAGAATCGATTTCAGATCGATTTGGACAAAAACAAATTTTGACCTATTTTCGGATTTTTTATAAGGGGTTACATCATGATTTTTGGTCAAAATGGGTCAAAAATAAAATTTTTTAGCTGTGAATGCCAATCGATTGGAAATTTTATAACGATTTCATCGAGGTATGACATTCCAACATGCGACCAATATTTCTTAAGGTTTTGATCAAAAACCCGAAACTAAGGTCCATTTTTTCGAGGTTTTGGACAAATAACCTTTTTTTATGGGTTTTCTGGCTGTAGAAAAATAATTATGGTAACAAACAGCAAAAAAGTTATTAAATTTTTTGTTTGAAATCATTATTCAAATATCTAAATAGCTGAATTAAGAAAAAATAAAATCAAGAGCAAAGGTTGTTCCCAAGCCATTAAAAAGCTTTAACTGAATATTTGATTTCCCAGTGGACATTCTCTTTATAGCTCCGCCATGATAATCAAACTGTGGAATAAATATTAAAGTGTAGAGAAATCTGTTTATCTGAGAGATATTCCCCCGGCAGCTGCAGCTGCAACTGCTCGCCACTTTCGATAAGTTTCCGGCTGGCAAACATTTGCCTGGTATTTTTTGGCTTTTCCGTTGTTTTCCCCCGGCAGAACTTTGCAGACAAGGCAGGTTGCTCATACGCACAGTTGCACCACCAGGCTGTTTAGTGGGGTTTTTTGGGGGGGTTTTTCAGGGGCTACGGGAACGACAGTCATTACCGCCAAAGTTTTGTCGGCCAACGTACTTTCGAGACAGCCATCTCATGGGCATCGAATTATGACACTTTTAGTGGTTTCTGCTAACTATGTGGCGGCCAAGGGAGAAAACAGGACGAGGAGAAAGCAGATCCTGCTGGGGCAGACAGAGACCCAAAACTGTCTTTGTATTTTAGTAAGTTTTGCCTTTTGGATTTGTTTGCAACTTTACTTCGATTTCAGCCAACACAAACTTGAAGTCATGTGGGCAACAGAAATACAGGGGGCCAGCATTATTTTATTTTCACTGGAAAATGTATTAGACTAAAAAAAGTTAAGATACTGTCAGTTTTTTCTATTTTATAGTTTGCTTATTTATTTTTTAATATATAACATTTGTTTTATATATTTATCCATTTAAACTATCAAAATGTATTTTGTTTTTGACTTATCAAAATTAAAATAAATGTCAAACGTATTGTTTAGCCTTAGCACTTTTCGATAACAAATAATCCGACTAACAAGAATTTCTTCGAATTTTCTTAACTAGCAAACTTGTTTTGAAATTGATGTAGTTACAAATTAAACTATATACAAAAATAATAAATATACCTATAGAAACCCACAACAATCCAGAGTGGAGCTTCAGCTTGTGTAGTTTTCCCAGCAGCTTTTCCGTCTTAAAATGTTTTCATTTTCATTCTCTTCCTTCCTGCTACTCTCTTCCGTTTCGGTGTTTGTTTTCCACTTTTTTCGGTGCTGCTTTTTTAACTTAAAAGTTTATCAATAAAATTATGACAGAAAACTTTTTAATTTGACACACAAAAGTCGTAGATACGAATCCGTATGCGTTCGGGGACACTTCCCTGGCCGCATCCACATCCGCATTTTATTCGATACAGTTGCGAGTAGGCGAACAAATAAATAAGCAACAAAATAGGGGAATACAGTCATCAGCCTATCACAGAGACAACCATTAGGCACTGGGAAAGGGGGCGTGGCTCAGCCCTTGAGACTCTTCAGCTTGTTCTTCTTCTCCACCGCCAAACTATTGGCGAACTGCTTGTCCGCCTCCGACTTGTACTCCGCCAGATTGTACTTGGTGGCCTAGAAAATGGGAAAATATAGAGGAGATTTGAGAATTGATAAGCAATTAGACTTAAATAAAGCACAACTATATTTTTTAAAAATATTTATACTCCACTTTATCACAGTATACTAAATAGTAAAGTCTAAAACTAGCTGGAGTCATTTATTGAAATAGTTTGTTTGCCTATTTAAATTTGTAAGTAACTTGTTTATCATTTATTTAAATTACTTTATAATCGCTAAAAGAAACTTACGTTAAGGGCAGTGTTGAACTCGGTCATGGCCAGTTTTTGAAGACCCCGGAAGTTTCTGCCCAGGATGCGACCCAGTTCGTAACGTGATATCTGGAAGGCCTCCGTTGTGGTGGGTTCCTCGCTATTGCTGCCACTTTCCTCACCGCTTATAGACTGTGTAGAGAAGATATTAAAGCCATATAGATTGCATTCTTAGCCAGTTCTCCGAAACTCACAGTTTTCTCGGTTGTGACCCTTGGACGACTAGTGGGTTTTTCGGGACCTGGGTCACTGAACTGCTCGTTAACCGTATTGTAAATATCATTCAGGGTATTTCGGGTATCCGTGTATTGCTAAAAAGGGTATATACGATTAAAAGAAACAAAATTAAAGAAAAGAAAAAACAACTCACATCCACTATGAGGTTCTTGGTGATGACCATCTTCTGAAAGAAGTCCCAGATGATCCCGCGCTTGTGTCTTATATGGGGCGCATCCCTGGAGTTGTGATCCTCGCCCTGAACCAAAACCAGACCCATCAGCAGGATACTACCAATCAGCAGGGTCGACATTAACTTCCTATTTCCATTGACTCCCATGCTGTGGGCAAGAAACACAAATACATTATTATTGCAGTGCTCTTTGCGTGATTAATCCATTGCAAATTGCATCGATCAATGGCAGATTCTGTCATCGGCCAGAGAAATAGCGACAGCAATAGAAGTGACACGCCCCCGCAGAGGCGGTGCATAAATCATGTTCGGTGACAGCCCTCAAAAAGGAGAACAGCAACAACAGAAGGCGAAATCGAAATGGAAATTGGCAAGGGGAATGGGGAATATGGGAAAAAAAAAGGGGTCAGCGTCGCGTTTCAGCGAAATGTGACCAAATAAACACCAAAAATATGATGTGAATGGGTGTTATAAAATTTATTTCCATTAGTTTTTACATATGACCCAAATTTCTGATGAACAAAAGAATCTATAGTTAAGTGGGAAGTTCAATAAAATTAATTTAAGTTAAAGTAAATACTTTAGAAAATAACAAGAAAGGAAAGCTAACTTCGGGCGGAGCCGAAGTTGAAATACCCTTGCAGAATATTCTGCAAATTATATTCTATTATTCATATGATGCATTCTTAATACTCATAAAAAATCCCAACTTCCTAACTTTAAAAACACCAAAGCTATGGGATTTCCAATCGTTCAGTTATATGGCAGCTATAGAATATAGTCGGCCGATCCTTATGAAATTTGATATGTCGGATTGATTGGGCAAAAATAAAACCCATAGAAAGTCCCAACTTCCTAACTTAACAAACACCAAAGTTATGGCATTCCCGATCAATCAGTTATATGGCAGCTATAAGATATAGTCGGCCAATCCTTATGAAATTTGGTAGGTCGGATTAATTGGCCAAATATAAAACCCATAGAAAATCCCAACTTTCTAACTTTACAAACACCAAAGTTATGGCATTTCCGATCAATCAGTTATATAGCAGCTATAGGATATAGTCGGCCGATCCTTATGAAATTTGGTACGTCGTATTTATTGATCAAATATATAACCCATAGAAAATCCCAACTTCCTAACTTTACAAACACCAAAGTTATGGCATTTCCGATCAATCAGTTATATGGCAGCTATAGGATATAGTCGGCCGATCCCGGCCATTCCGACTTATATACTGCGTGCAAAGGAAAGAAGGGTGTGTGCAAAGTTTGAATTCGATATCTTTAAAACTGAGAGACTAGTTCGCGTAGAAACAGACAGACGGACAGACAGACGGACAGACGGACAGACGGACATGGCTATATCAACTCAGGAGGTGATCCTGATCAAGAATATATATACTTTATAGGGTCGGAGATGTCTCCTTCGCTGCGTTGCACACTTTTGACCAAAATTATAATACCCTCTGCAAGGGTATAAAAATCCATCAATTAATAAATATTTTTCGCAAAAGAGTTTCTATATTTTATAATAACCTATCCTTGCTGAGTTAAAGCACCTAGCTAACTAAAAGAAATAGTAATTATCCATATCCTCCATTGAAAAATGGGAAAATGGGTTTCCCTCTTAGCATAATTACATCGGAAAGCGAAATATTCAACTCGGCCCCTAAAAGTATGCAGTCGAAATTGTGTGACAATCAAATTTGCAATATTTAGTCAACTTTTCTGCTACTCTGCGAAACTCCCTCGCAAATTGTGTAAAATGCACAATTTTTTTGCTGTTTGTTTTAATGAGCGTAATTAGGAAATTTGGCAAAGTAGCTTAATAAATTTTTTACATTTTAATTGCATTTCTGCCGTCCGAACTCAATACGCAAAAATATTCAAATACCATTTAATGTCACAATGCGGCTGTGTGTTTTTGTGTTATTTAAGCCCCTTTGGCCAAAAGAGTTAATAGAAAACAGCAATTGGCCGCGGGCAAAGGCCAAAAACTGTCCGCTTAATTGTTTGCCCATAATTTCCAATGCAATGCGAAAATAATTTTAATTATTTCAATGCCACCCCGGCTAAACAAAACAAAAAAAAAATACAATCATTATAATATATTTGCTACATTTTGCAGCATTTTATGCCCGATTATGCCGCAATTGAAAATGCATTGACCTCCTTAGCTAAAAATAGATAAAATAAGAGGGGAAAAGAGGGGGAAGTGCAGTATTGATGAAATTATAGCCAGAATAATTTGCACAAAATACGTAAAATATTATTAAAATCATTTGAATCACTTTCAGGGCTTTGTTGGCTTTTTCTCCTTCCACTTTTCCACTTGCACATGTTTAATTATTTATAATTGTAGCAAACTACATTGTTTGATACAAGCAACGATGTTAAAATAGATGCTTCATCGCAATATTTAATATATTGCATTACGATTTACTTTTCACTACCAACTTTGTAGACACATCGAAAAGGTACACATCATTCCCAATTATTCGAATATTTTTTTTTTCAGTGAAGCTAATTGAACAGCGGACGGCAAAATTGGCGCATTTGATTGGATTGTTGGCCATTTGCCGAAAACGTTGGCACTTCATTTTCCCCATCACGCAGGAAAATCTGATTGATGGTCGAGGGCAGTAAATGGGTATCAATTTCCCGTCGATGGGGTTGAGGTCAAGTCAGCTGAGTGGCAAAACGAAATTCCCAATCAAAATCCGTAGCACTAAAATTACACCAAAACGCGCACGGATATTTACCTATCGTTGGCCATAAAGGCTAAGCAAAATATCGAAAATAGGCCAACTTTGATACCCTATGAATGACTAATCTTAGGGGATTGAAAGACAACCTGCCACTAAACTCGTGTAAAAATGTTCACATCATTCAGATAACTAGTAGTCAAGTTATAACGAAATAAAAATGATGGAAATTTATTAATAATTATAAGTGGTTAAATTGCTTATATATATTGTAAGTACTTAAATCTTATATAAATCTTATTTTGTTCCATTTATTCACAGTGTTATTATTGAAGATTTAAAGGATTGCTGTGTATAAGATAATTTCAGTAATATGCTAAGCTGTATGTTTTAAATATTTCTTTGTTGTATATCTTGAATAGGTGAAAACAACTTGACTATAATCTAGAGGGTATGCCAGGTCTAGCTTTTCCCCGGTAACTTGGCAACCAATTTTGGACTCCGTCCCCTCGAGTCCCCCCGATACCGAGTTTCCCGATCCCAGCCCATTGCATATGTTCTCCGGTATCGTCGAGCGGAGAAGTCAATTGCCTTTGGCTCCGTAGACAATCGCTTGATGCTTTAATGCTACTCAAGTGCTCAAACTCTTTTGCCAGGCGAATGATGATGCAACAACAACAGCAAATTGCTGAATAAAAAAAAAAAAAATATGAGGAGCAGAGCGAAAAAAGTACTTGAAGTGAAAACTTTTGCTTTTTGGAGAGCGTTCTATGCCAACCCCCCCCCCGATTTCTCCCTTAGCCCCACAAAAGCAGTGCCATAAAAATGCATGGCTCACACACAGACGGCACACATATGCATATCTTTATTCCCATAGATTGCCTGTTGTAGCGTAAGGCAATCAGCTGAAAAAGCAGAAGGATCTACCCCCCTTTCCCAAAAAAAAAAAGGAAGAAACGAAACGAAACGAATCGGTACATATAACAGACAAACATTTCATTGAGTTGAGTTGAGACGAGTTTTTCGGGTGGGTAGTGCACTTGAGCTCTGCCAGCATCTTTGGAGCCCAAGTTCCACTGCATCCCCATGCCCCGAACCCCAAAATTGCTTTGCATATGAGCGAAGTGATTGCTTAATTGCCAAAATTCATTGCACAGATTGATTTGGGGTTGTGGGAAGAAAAAAAACCAAAAGGTCATAGAGTGTGCGAGTCTAAAAGGGAAGCTGTGAAGTCCTCTTTGAAGTTATTATTGCCAATTCCATATGAAATGGTCAGCACGTTACGTACAGCTGCATTCAAAATGATAGCATCAATACATTTTTAACATGTTGGCATAAATTAATGGAAAATTACAAAAATCTTAAAGAATTTTTTGTATTTTTAAGTTGGAGTTATTGAACTATGTTTGCTTTAACGAAATTTTAAATAGTACAAAGTTATCAGGCACATTGCACATACAATAAGCTCTTAGAGAAGAATATTTGTCACCCTCTCTTTTTTGGTCATATCCTCTGTCTCTTTCTTCTGGCCTATTTCCGTTTGCTTTGGCAACTTTGTCGCCGCACTACTGCTTTCTTTCGCTTTCTTCCGCTCACCTGCACCCTTTCCTTTCAACCATTGGGCACTTCTCCTTCAGCGTGTTTTCATTATCAGCGTCTTGGCTGCATTTGTTGTTGCTGCCGCTGCTTGGAGCATTTTAATTATGCCCTAATGGCGCATAATAGCTGTCCCTGTCCCCCCGCCGATCTGCTCTCTCCTTCTGGCCGACTCTCATTACGCTTGGACTAACGGCATTGGCATTTTCGGCCATCCCGCTTCCGTTTTCGCAACTTTGCCCATTTTTCGACTAGATTTCCAGTTAAGTTTGTCCTCCCCCCACCCACTTCTTTCTCCCAGCCTTTCTCCCTTTTCCGCCTCTTTCTCTCCTTGTCTTCAGGTAAATTTGCACAGGCCCGCAGCTGGGCAAACCCTTTTTTCAATGCCCAAATACCCTGTAGGATGGAAAAGTCAAAGTGCGAGTAATGAACTAGTCAAAAACTACATGCAAAACTATTTTCTTAATCATTAGTAGTAGCGTTTAAAAGATGTGTAATAAATATAAATAACATTAGATACATTTATTATTAGATTAATTTTGAATAACCAAGAAACAAGCTCATACATATGGTTAATTTATCAAGATAAGGTGTTATAAAATAAATGTTCACACTTCTTCAATAAACTTATTAATATTATTCTATTATTCTACCATAATACCCCTTTTTTTTGCACAATGCCTTTTGGCTTTTTCCACTTTTGGATGATGGCATCGCCACCCCGTTTCCGTTTTGCCTTTCTTCTTCATTTTACTTACTTTTGTTACCAGTTTTTCGGCAATTCTCGTTGCACTTTTGTGCACGCTTTGATTATTTTATTGCCCATCCCCGGATTTCCCACCCC